TGAAGTCTGCACCCCTAGCGGACTCTCTGGAAGTCCGCAGAAACTCTGCTTGAGGACCCCTTGTGGACTGGATCAATTGTGGATTTGGACAGCCCTCAGCACTCCCGGACTTCCCATGAACGCGCCCGCAAAGTCCGCGAGTCTGCAAGTGCGGTGAAGTGCGGATATTCGGATGCAGCCTAGTTGAAGTAGCCGTGTGCATGCACTCAGCATGATCAGCGGCACTGGGCTTCACTTAGCCTAGCCTCCTCCACTCATTGTTGGCTTTGTGCAATCAATTAAGCCAGCGACGCGCTGTTTGGGATATGGCAATCCTCGCTTTGGCGTTGATCCAGGAATTCAGGATGCGAATTTTGTGCAATAGGCCCCTGGAGTACCACCTGTCCTGCATGTTTTAGATCTCTCCCTGCTCCAGCTCAGGTGATTCAAATTATCTACTCATTATCAAGCAGCTTCAGGGGGTTGCTAGCGAGCTGATCATTTCAATCACTTGTGCTGGATTCCTTGTGGATTTTTCTTTTAAATTTATTATTTGTAATAAACAAGTATGGGGTTTCAGTGATTTATTTGTTGTAAACACAGTTGTAAGATTAAGACTTGACAAGCTCTTAGGGTGTGCAAAAACTTTTGACTGGTAGTGTATGTCCTCGTTCCTTTATCCTCTATTGAGCCAGGAGTTGTTCTGGATCTACCTCCTCGCTGATTGACTCAATGTGCTTATTTCTGCTGAAAGGAGAGAGGAGGGAGCTCTGGGCGGCTATGAGCTGTCAGGAGATACTCAGGAACACAGACAACCGCCGAGTAGTATTCAGTTGGGTACTTTACTCTCGAGGAATATCAATACTTTGAACAGACATTTACAATATGAGTAAAATGAGAACTACAACAAACAGAATCTTACACAACAGATGAATACATGAAATGATACCAACCAAGACCAGATACAAAGTGACAATGTAAAGTGAAAGCAGCAAAAAAATAAAACAAAGTATCAACCTAGAAAAACGCTGGTGCGTAGGCACAAAAAAGATACGTACGTCACTTTCTTTGCAGATTTCTGATTTATAAAAACAAACTTGACTTAAAAAAAAAAAAGGGAAATTGTTAAGATTATGCACAATGTCAATAAATTCCTAGTCCATCCTGATTAAATAAATCGAGGGCTGACTGCAATAAACAGTTATGTCCAATGTAAAACATCTGGACATAACTGTTTATTGCAGTCAGCCCTCGAAATGAAAATTCCATGCAGTTTATTTTACCCATAGGTTTATAAATTAAGTTATTTTTCACAAAATGTAATTTTTATTTTTTTGTGTGTATGTATTATTTAGGTATGAAATCCATGCAAATTTTTATAATTAAGGCCCTAGGACCGTAGAGGCTGAACAAGACTGGGGAATCGAGAGATATAGATTTGTGGTAGCAAGACAACACCCGGCAAGGGGCTTAACAAAGACTAGGGTATTTATAGATGCAGACACAGGTGAAAACAATCAAAACTCAGGTGACGGCATATGATGACACATGGATTGAAATGAGGAGGGCGTGGTCACCGGGCTGCCAGGTGTGGGCGTGCCATGAGCGAGGTTACACGAGAGTCCCTATCCCAGAACACTTTAAGCTGAAAGTCATGACATCAATGATAACGAGCTGGCTGCAAAAAAGGATCAGAAAACTCACAGATCAGATCATATCACTTTTAAGTCAGGGATCAGAACATTTTTTGGATCAAAAAATAAATTGAAAAAGGAGAGTCAATATCTTTGCTTTCCATGTAATCAATCAGTACATTAGGTAAGGAAATTTTGCACAATGTCTTTATTGAAAACAACATTCAAGATGTTCAGAGTTTCCAATAAATCTTGAAATAGCTTAAATAAAATATTCAATATTTGATTGTTAAAATAAAGAATAATATGGGGCATGGTAATCCATTCCTATAAACATAGTAGAATGAAGAGTAGTCTGTGTTTACGTCATAAAAAGTTTAAAAGAAAAAGGAAGGCAAAGCAGACCTGATTTTATACTTTCAAAAACTTTTCAAAATAATAAAGTTGGCTACACTGTTTGTTCATGGATTATTCATTCATTTTTTTACACAAGTTGTTTTTTAATTAAAGTGGTTGCAGGCCTTCTTTAATACAGACATTCAGCATCTTGATGGCATTTTACAGATAGCCTGGAGGGTTTAGCATTGTGATCTGAAAAATGTCAAGTTATTCTGTTTAAGAAAAATGGAAGCACACTGAAATAAATGCATTTTTATATGGGGGGGGGGTGTTAATCTTCACTGGTGATGGTACAGATAGCCTATAGCCTAAATGCCCCTGTTTAAAATACAAATTTATCTTGGTTATATTTTACTATAGCATTGCGCACAACACAATTCAATTTTGGGAAGAGTGAATAACTGGAGGATTTCAATATTTTATGAAAACATATTAATCAACAATTTAAAAAAGTGCTATGGTTAAAATTTAGGCTACCCTCGGGGGTTTCGCGTGAGAAAAAGCATGCAGCAGTTAAACTGTATGTCACACTGACAATTACATTTTGCAATTAATCTGCGGTTTACATGCGTGCCAATCCCTACGGATCACATTACATTAGATACAGCTGAACACAGTCAACAGAAATGACTGCCACTTCATGTGACGCTTCAGTGAAAAATGAAGTCAAAGTGGTCAAAAAACATACAGTATGCCCTCATTTTGTCCCCCCTCTGTCCTGTTTCCTAGCGTTTCTCCATGCATCATCAGTAGGAGGAAAACTACGCCAGTGAGGGGAACGGGGATGCAATTTAAGAGAATTGAGATGCACCCATTGGGTGCTTTTCATGTACAATAGTGTGCAATGATAATTATACAAATAACAAATGAAGATAAATCAAACACCAAGTCCTATTCAAGTATTTATTTCATGTGATATTGGATCATAGATCAAAATAAGTAAACTGATGAAAATATATACTAAAACAGATATAATGTCTTTTTGAGAGAAAAGGTCAATATCTAGTGTGGCCAACTTTTGCTGTGATTACAGCAGTAAATCTTTCGGGCATAGTTTTCACATTTTTTTATTTTTGTATCTCCTCACTCACTAAACCATTCCATCTAGTTTTAAAGTTCTTTCAAAAGAGATTTTTTTTATGTTACAACAGATTTTCTCGATTGGATTAAGGTCTGGACTTTAAGCAGGCCAAGTCACAACTTTTATGTCATCAGATGATTCTTTCCAACTGAGATAATTCTTGCGAAACTTAGAAGTGTGTTTAGGGTCATTGTCTATTTGAAAATAAACCCCCCGACCAATCAGTCTCTTTCCAGATGCCAATGCATGGCTCACAAGGATGCTGTGTTACTTCTTTTGATCCATGATTCCATTGATTTTCATGAGATCACCAGCTCCTTTCAAGCAGACTGAACCCCACAGAATAATATTACCACCCCCATATTTTACTGAAGGGGTTAAATTGTCATTTTTGAAACGTTTATTGCCACTAGTTTTCAGCAAACCGGTCTCTTTGAAATGCTTGATAGTGTTTTTTGCAGTGCCATAGCAGCATTTAATGTCTGCAGTATCATGTAAGGCCACAGTGCAGCTACAAACATTCTCAGAGAGCTCCTTTCATCATGCCATCGTGTTTAACACTGTGATACTGCTCAAAGTCAAATGTCACTTTATATACTGGAACAACTAACCATCAGAGGTGATTTTGCAAAGTAGTGTTGCCTCAAACCAGTTTAAAGAAATTTTTCTACATCACTAATCATGGAGCAAACGAAAATCAGAAAAGAGCTCTCAGAAATGTTTCATTTATTTCTCCTAGACAACTATGAGATCTGTGTGAAACCCGAGTGAGACTATAGCTTATTTCGCCTGTTTCCCATTTTTTTCTCCAGAGCAAAAAGACAGACAAAAGCTCAAATTAGCCTCCTTTGACGTTTCTAAAGAGATCTCATCAAGCTCTAAAATCAGTCTCAGATTTTAGAGCTCAAATTAGCCTCCTTTGATGTTTCAAAGGAGATCTCATCAAGCTCTAAAATCAGTCTCAGATTTTAGAGCTCAAATCAGCCTCCTTTTACATTTCAAAAGAGATCTCATCAAGCTCTAAAATCAGTCTCAGATTTTCTCCACTTTAGCACCTCATTTTGATCTCAGGCAGAGAGATCAGAGAGCTCTGCTACTGACCTGACTGTATTCTCATCCTAGCCTTTATAAGCCTTTGTTAATTACTCAGTTCATGCATCTCATGGTGATCTCAGACAGAGCAAATAAAGAGCTCTCTGTAAGCACTCAGTGAATTCTCATCCAGACATTAATGTTTTGTTTTTTTTAAACTGCACTCATGAATATCTGGTGGTAAATAAATCTATAGAGGGAGCTGCATAACTAAGATATTCCCTCAAACCATTGCTAAGAAAATGTGAACACATATGCAGAGACTTCTCATTTTAATTGATATTACATGCTCGTCTACAACAAAAAACAAACACCGAGCACATCTGAAACAGAAGGGTTACATAACACTGACAAGCAAATATCACAGTATTTTTGACTGGATATCTCATCAACATTTTGGGGGTGACTTCAATAATACATCCACATGGAAATTTTCTCATAAGTAATGAGATGTTGCAATTATGTATATTATTCCTTCTAAAAAATTGTAAATCATAACTTTGCATTCAAATGATTCATTTTCGTGTTCAGCCCTATATGTGGTTGGCAGGTAAACTTCTAGAAAGGAGCCTATTGTTTCAAATATAGTGCCCAAGAATTAGGAAAAAATCTAATAAAGCGGTTTTTTCTTACAACATTGGTAAAAGTGTACTTGATTATTGTTTTGGTTATTACTGTTGGTTATTACTGTGTGTGTGTTTATATATTTTTTGTGTATATATAATGTATACATAAAACATTTTTTAATATAAAATATACATATGTGTGTGTATATATCTATACACAAGTAATATGTATACTATATATTATTATAGGGTGGCATGGCTCAGGAGGTAGAGCGGGCAGCCTAGAAAGCAGAAGGCTCGGTTCGATCCCGGCCCTCTAGAGAATGTGTCAAAGTGTCCTTGAGCAAGACACTGAACCCCTCACTGCTCCTTCCATGTGTGAAAAACTAGGTTGACATGTGCGAAATTGAGATTTTTCCATGGCAGCTTCACTGGTGATGGTACAGATAGCCTATAGCGTGAATAAAAGCCCCTGTTTAAAATGCTTTGGGATCATGTCATGTGACTATAGCATTAGAACACAATTCAATTTTTTTGAAAACATATTAATCAACAATTTAAAAAGTGCTATGGTTTAAAATTTAGGCTACCCTCGGGATTTTACTATGAGAAAAAGGGCATGTCCATTTACCATTTTGTTCTCGGCTCAACCTATTACATTTTGAACACTCCTGCCACTTCATGAATTTTGAAAGGAGTCAAAAACAAATGAGACAAAATAAAATCAAAAATGAAACATTGGGTGCTTTTCAAATTGATACAAATAACAGAATTTAGTCCTATTCAAGTATTTATTTCATGTGATATTGGATCTTTAAGTAAACTGATGAAAATATATACTAAAACAGATATAATGTCTTTTTTTGAGAAAAGTGTCAATATCTGCCTAAACTTCTCTGTGATTACAGCAGTAAATCTTTCATAGTTTTCACATTTTTTAGTATTTCCTCACTCACTAAACCATTCCATCTGTTTTAAAGTTCTTTCAAAAAGATTTTTTTTTATGTTACAACAGATTTTCTCAATCGGATTAAGGTCTGGACTTTAAGTAGAATCTTTTATGTCATCAGATGAAATTAAGAAATGAGTGTTTAGGGAATTTGAGACCAATCAGTCTCTTTCCAATTTTGGCTCCAAGGATGCTGTGGATCCATGAATTGATTTTCCACCGGCTTTCAAAGCAGAGCTGAAGAATAAAATTTTTAAAATTTTTCCTCTGGGATGTTTTTTTTTTTTTTTTTCAGCAAACCGGTCTCTTTTGAAATGCTTGATAGTGTTTGTCAGAGCTCCTTTCATCATGCCATCGTGTTTAACACTGTGATACTGCTCAAAGTCAAAAAAAAACCATTAAAGGCTATGCAAGAATCATGCGGTAAAATTTGTGATGCCTATTAAAAAAATAAAATTTACAGAAAATTGATGTTTTCAGTGTTTTTGTTTATTACCCATATTTTTACCTCAATATACTCATGAGAATGATTTTTACCCTCCCCCACCCCGAAAGGGAGGGCGAGAGTATTGTTTTTGGTGTGGTTTGTTTGTTTCTTTGTTTGTTTGTTAAGACTTTAGCAGTAAAACTAATGGCCAGATTCACCCCAAATTCGGTTTAGGGATTGCCACCGACCCAGAATAGATGCCTATTGAATTTAGGAAAATTTGGTCAAAGTTCAACATGTGCAAGGGGTGGGGTTTGTTGTGCCTGGCACCACTTGTTTTTTTTTTTTGGTGCTCATTACCTGCACTAGTATTTTTCTACACATTTTCACCAAATTATAGAGGAGTAATATATTAGGACCTCTGTTAGGTGGAAGTGGTGGTGCATAACCTTCACTGCACACTATTGTAACTTATGTTCCTCATGTCTTCTCCTCTTCCGTGACCTGGACACAGGTCTGCCTCCGACATCGTGGAGTACTTCTAATCCCTTAAATGCTCCTCGAAGGAGACCTGGAGCAAGGAGGCTTTTGGAGAAGCTTAAAGCCGGGAAACACAGGTGTAGCCAACACAGAGGCCTTCTATCTTGCGGTGTGACCTTGGAATGGCACACCTCTGCATATGATGTTACTTAATGGAACAAACAATTTCTCATTTGTCAGCCTTCAGCTCCTCTGTCCTTGCCGTGCTTCCTCGGATCTCTCTCACAGATCCTCAGTGGGAGGAGCTAAGACGCAACAAAGACACGCAAGTGAGGGAAGTGAGGAGACACGTTAGCATAATGAAAAGCACCCATTGACTGAGAAGCTGTCACGGGTACATGAAATGGACTGCTGAATGACTGCCAGAATGCCAATGCTGCATTTGACTAAAGTGGTGCTAGGTAAGAATTTCTATGCAGCCAAAGTTCTGCTGACCAGAGGAAATGATACCCACACATTGGGTTTATGCGTCTGACAGCTTCTGCAAACTTTTTGGATACTTTTATGTATCTCCCATTCAGTTTCGCTGCATCCCTCATTTTTTTCTTGCCCATTGCCTCCCATGTGTCTCCCCCCTCTCACTCTGACAGTACTTGGCAGCCTGTTCTCCTCTCCATCTCTATGAGGCTGTTTTCTCAATTCAGACAGTTATACAACCAGTTAATTCAGGTGAGAGTATTTTATATTACCTACCTGTTTCTCACCTGACACTGAGCCAGCTGTCTTCACTCCCACCTTTCTCCAGACCTGAAATAAACTTCCATGGGTTCCAAGGAAATAAGCATAAGTATGGGCTTAGAAGTACCAGGGACATTAGACCTGTGTGTGAAGGGCATGCAGTGAGGAGTTGAGGGCTGCTCAGACAGGTTAAGATCATTTCCAGCAATAACCATTAATTGGAATACGAACAAAAATGGTGCCTTACTCACTTTGACAGTTTGCACAGACTGATTTGAAGTCACTGTCTCGGCCAAATCCTTATACCTGAGATAAAATTTTAAGATGGGGCCATGCCAAATTTACATGCATATGATGTTGGTTGGTGTGTGCTAAAGAATGTTGGGAACAGTTTTTTTTTTTTTTTTTTCCAGAAGTATACACAGTGTCACATCCCAATCACATCCTTAATTGGACATCCTTGTTCCAGCATTTTTGCGTCAGTTTTGCGGTATTGTCTCCTTTTATTGTTTTATTGTCTCGTTTCACTCCCTGCCCCTCTCCTGCTCTTGTGTTTCCTTGCATTTGAGTCTAATTGTTGTTATGTGTATTTAAGTTACTTGGGTACAGTACAACTCAAAATTAATAATGAATAAATCAGTGTCTGGACATTACTTCACATTTAAGCTGAGTTATTTGAGCCTTGCATACATTGGGATGCCTTATTTGGTTATTTTCCCATTTCCTGATTTTTCAAATTGCTTCAATGGCAACGTATATATTGTCGCTTCCTATTAGGGTGATCATACTGGCTAAGTCCAGTGAAGTCTGCACCCCATGCGGACTCTCTAGAAGACCGCAGAAAGTTCACTTGAGGACCCTGGTAGACTGAGTCCTCAAGCATGGCTGCGAAGTCATGGCTGGGAGTCTCCCAGTGCGGTGACATCCGGACATGTCGATTCCGACTTAAATTCAGTTGCTAATTGCCTGACAAGGACTGCCCTCCACTTATGATCGCCTGTGCCCTCTTAAGTTCTTCATAACTGGTGTTCTGGCTCAATAAACACTCTTACTGTGGCTCTGCTTGTGGTTCCTTCCATCCATTACCCATACTGCTTCTTCAAGACAAGGGTCGCGGGTGAGTCAGCCTTTCCCAGCTGACAATGGGCAACACCCTGGACAGCTCTCTAATCCATCTTTGGGCAATATATAGTCTCCATCGAGCCTGACATGCATGTCTTTGGACTGAGGGACATGCAAACTCCACACAGAAAGGCTTCAAGCTGGATTTTAACCCACATCCTTCTCCCTGTGACGCGGCAGTGCCCACACTTGTGGTTTCTTCTTGTGCAGTTTGTAACAAACAGTAGTATGGATCATCAGAGCCAGTTAATTTGAATGAATTTTCTATCCAGGCTCTTATGTTAAGATTTCAATTGGGCCGAGAGGTATTCTTCAAAAGCAACTCTGATATTGGGTTTTCCCTGGTATTGGAGTACCTTTAATATTCTTGTCCACATGTGCTATGAGTCTATTAAATTCCCAAACTCTGTCTATTTTTTTTGCCTAAGATTGAGCACTCATGTTGAACCCTTCTGCAAGTACCATTACTTGCTTTACATTATTATATACTATGTTGCACGGAATTATAATATTCCCAGTATGGGCCAGCACAAATAATTTATGAGTTACGGGTTTACACTGATATTTTCACTTAAATTTTTATTGTTGGATTCAAATGCATCACATCCTCTTTGTTAGCTGGAGTTTTACTTTTGTCTTTATAGTTTAATGATTTTTTTAAAATTAAGGGATTACAAATAAGACTAGACTGTAAAATTTAACTGGTCAGGTCATAATCCACCACTGTTTTTAATTCTAGAATGTTCAGTTGAATGACATCCAGGTGACAGAATCGCTCAGGTGACAGACAACGGAATGGATCTGGTGTGAGTAGTGCAATTATGGACATGTTGGTAAAGAGGAAGGATTCTGTTGGGTTGAGCTGTGTCACCCTTTCTTACCAGGAGAAAGAGGTTGTAACCAGACTCTACCTCACCTGCATAAATAATGCAGTCAGTTAGTGAGAATGTGGCAAGAGCAAGCAAAAAAGAAAAGAAAAAAAAACCCCTCTACAATAGGGGCTCTCAGTCTCTGCCTCCTGTCCGTCTTTGGTCCCAGTCTCCTCTGCAGGGGTTGTTATGCTTGTGACCTGTGCTAGGTTTGGGTGCAGACAGTGCGAGGAAGTTGGTGGGGGAGGGGTCATTGATGGCCACAAGGCCCGTGTGGATTTCCCTGTGGCTCGCTCCACAAGTCACCGTTGCTAAGGCTCTGCACTTTGCTTGTGCTCGCAGAGAGGGGTGATACGTGTCCAATGCATCAGGAAGTCTTTCTCACGAACTGAGCTATTTGGGTAAGCTGCCTCCAGCTGCATTTGCCATTAATGAAGGTCAATGTCTGCTTTTTTTCAGTTTTTTTTTTTTTTTTTTTGGGGGGGTACTCACTTTGGCTTTGTATCTGCATAATATTCTGAATATTTTGATTCTAAAAGGATTTTTTTGTAAATGTGATTTCAAAACATTGAGACCAGTAGCCAGGATAGTGCTTTAAATGTATTTCCAGTTTTTTCAAGTACTAAGAATGCATTTTTTAATGACATTATTGCTACTGGAAATCAGTAATCAAATAATTAGCTAAAGACTTGTCTTTAAGATCTATTCTGCCTGTGCTTTTGAGTTAATATCA